AATATTAATTAGTGTTTATTATGAATAGAAATTGTGATAAAGAGCGTTTTTTGACACGAATTTGCGTGAGAAGATTTCGATCATAGTTCGTACACCAACAATTATTAGGGCTAACCGGATGAAATTCCGATTATTATTTATTAGGGATGCTATAAGAAAGATTTTCTTATTTTTGTCTAATGAGGCTCTTGTGTAAGGATTTGATACGAATGTTTTAACTTTATAAATATACTTTTTTCATAAATATATTTACAAACACAAAATTTCGTAATGAGCCGACACTGGTTTATGACATTCACCCGACATTAAGAAATATTATATCATATCCAATTCAAAATTTTATTACTCTTTTTAAACTGAATTTGTTTCTTGAGATAATTTTTGAAAAATTATATATTTTCGCTGGTTATGACATATGTAGACTATATAACACTTATACTACATTAAATTAAGAAGTAGTCTACCACGCGTAAGGCAGTTGGCTCACGATCCAGAGGTCCCGAGTTCGAATCCCACCAGGTAAGTGTTTTATTTCAAAAGCGAGAAAATATTTATAATTATAGACTGCATCTTAAGAAACAAATTTAGTTAAAAAATAGTAATAAAAATTTTTTTTGGGTGTACCAGCATTCTGTTAGAAAATGTAAGGCGCAACAAGGGGTAGTCACGAGGCCCTGATAAGGAAAACATGATCAGGCAATTTTAATTCTCAACGTTACATTTACGATCGGGGCCTAACAAAAACTACCTGATGAGCCCTTAATCAGGCGTTAGGGCATGCTTATTAGGTCCCCATTAGAGCCTATCCAAAATTTCTGCTCGAGTAGAGAATACCCGTGCTGATTACTTCTTCCACTTCTTCTCTTATTATTCCCTCTTGCCCCTCTTTGCTCCCTACTCTTTCCTCTCCCTTTCTGTCTTTTTCACGCGGTTTTACAGTAACTCCCTCTAGTAACTCCATGAAGTGTTGCATACTTATTAATTAAAATACTATTAGATATAATTATAAGCGTCAATTCAAAAATGTTCTGTTTTATTTTTGAATTGCTTTTAAACTTTACGTAGAATATTCCATTTTTCCAGTGCATTTTTCTTTGGCTAAAGCATTGATTTTTTTTCTCTTAACAAAAATACTGTGCAGCTGATCGCTGTCAAATAGTAAATTTATTGAAAATAAGGATCTCTTAACAAATTTTATGAAACAAATACAAAAATTTTGGTTGCAAATCTATACTCTTCAGTTAATCTCAAGCAGACTTTACCTCAACGGAATCTTAATTTGTTGCTTAATTGCAGAGACATACGATAATATATAGTAATTAAAGTAAGAAAGTTGCGATAAACTGCTGATCCCCTTTGACATCTGTTTGATAAGAAAAATTTCGATACAAAAGTCTCCTTTATCTCAAGATAATTTCCATAGAAACAGGACAATCTAATAACGTTTCATCACGTATTTCCCGTATCTTTGTATTTCTTGACCTTTTTGGCGATAGTCGACTTTTTTTGCTACTTTGTGCTTAAATTATTATAATTTGCCGTCTCAGATATCGGCCTCGCGCGCGATTATATAAAATATATATAATTATATATATATACATATATATAAGTCGTAAATATATATTACATATGTACGATTTGCGACACGACAGCTTCGCCTGTTACTACTTACAATTAGATGATCCGCGCACGAATCCTTATGATTTGCCTGACCTTTAAACCTTCCCCGTGATGCGAGCGTGTGTGATATGTGCATACACATATTGTGATAAGCAATAAGGAACACACGTGATATAAATCTCTCAATTTTTTTCCACCGTTTTTTTCTTCTTTTCTTCTTCTCATAATTCTGCCAATCACTGACAAGAGAGAAATAAACAAGTTTCTGCTTTGAAAATTTTATTTATTGCACGTTGTGTATCTATGATTATCACACACATACAATTTTACATTTATACGAGGGTCGGTACGAGAGTAATGCCTTCTAATTTTTTTCTTTCGAATCTGTCGCCATAGAAAATTTTGTGTTTTACTGAGTTGTGTTACTTAAAGTCTCCATGTTGAGTGGTGTTGTGATCATTTACGTGAATGTGTCACACGAATAGTTCGAAGTTCAAACTGGCGTGTGTTTTAGATATGCATAACAGATAAGGGCAATGGTTGAATTTCTTATAATTACTGTGAAAGAAGTGAGTTCTAGTAGCTGTGTTCAGCGGGGAAAGCAGTTCAAGGAAGAACTAAAGACAAGACTCCAATTATTTAAAAAAAATACTGATCGCTCGCTGAGTTGCTTTTTCTGCTGAATGACATTGAAATTTATTCGCGTCTCAGAAATGTTTATGATAACACAATTTCTGAAATGCGAATGAATTTCAATAGGACTCATTTCTTCCACGGTAAGAATTAAGTTCAATCACTACCCTTGTCTGTTACGCATATTTGAAACACATACCAGTTCAAACTGCTCGTGTGACACACTCACGTAAATAATCATAAGACCACTCAACATAATGCAACTATTAGAGACTTCAAGTAACAATTTAGTAAAACGCGAATTTTCTATGACGCCAGATTTGAAAGAAAATTATTGGGAGGCATTTATACTTTCGTACTGACTATCGTATATTATAAGATATATTGATATAAGATATACAGAGTTTTTGCAATTGTAAACGTTTACGTAAAAATAAATATTTTAAAATGTTTCTATTCACAAGACAGATGATCCTTGAAGTAGAAATATTAATATATGGCTTTGATACGTGTATGATGCAATAAAAGATTATTTCTTAAAATAAGATTATTGCGCAAAGTTATTAAAAGTAAAAATACCGCCCTTGAGAAAAAATTAAGTGCCTTCTCAAAACGATATATTAATATCATCGATGCAATTATCACCTAATGCGATATTATCTCGTACGCATATTTACGTACGCTTGAATTTTTTGTACGGAACTAAAATATGCGTTAATAGAAGATGTATTAACGCATGTGTATAATTGTTTTGTTTGTTTTATTATCAAAATCACAGCCGCAATTCTTGTTTAGGTCGGAAGTCAGGAGAGTTCGAACGACCAACGTGCGTGAGGAATTATATATTCTCTCATCTGCTTTTTGCGTTGTTGGGGTCAATGTCAACATTTACTCGATTAACTGCAAAAAATTTGCCGATCCGTGATTTCCTGAAGGAACGCGTTAACGTCTTGACAATTTCGACATGCAGGCATAAATTAAATTACCGTTACATATTTAATATCGAATAAAAATATTGTCGGATTACGCGATCCCTTATAATCGCTCGCAATATCGAGATAATTTGAAACAATTAAAGCAATTGAAACGCGTTCGCCGTAGTCGAGCTTTTGCATCGAGCGATACACGCTGTTATTATTATTCAACCTTTCTGCCACTAAGCCAGTTTATGCCGCGTTAATATCTTAACAGCGCGAAGAGTGATCTGTGATTCTGATGATGTAAATGCATATACGTTGTGACGTCACGCGAATTAAATTTTATTTTTGTTTTCTAAAAAACCTTAAAATTGATCAATTATTATAATTGTCTTTCACCGTATAACCTTTGCCTTTGTCGCGACTTCAACCTTCGTGACAATTCTATTTAACTATAAAAGAATTAAAGAATTCAGACGTCGCAGTCGCCTTCTACCGATCGATCAATAGTTAAAATAACTCGGCTGCAGTACCGAGAACAGCGGCAAGAATCAAAGACAGAAAAGGATCTGGTTTCATCTTCGACGACGAAGTGTCCGACTGATAACGCGAGAAAAATACTCAGGTTACCAGTCGCGAATTACCACCGCCATGATCTAAGCGTCCTCGAAACCCTCTGGAAGGGAAATAATTCTAACCAATGACAGCCGAAGAAACTTCCCAGAATTACCACCTCTATTCGCTCACTAGCGAATCGGAACACGGCAAATTTGGCTAGCGTTAAAATTTGCCACTATAAAAACCACGTACTCAGCCGGAGCGGAACGCATTCAATTAATATAATTAATTGATTCATAATCCTTCGAGTATTCTTAAATCTTTTGTCTTTCAATCATTCGAGTAAACGTCAGTGGGCTTTCCGTTCCCAAGAACTGCTCCGGCTGATTGACGAACTCTGAAGGTGCTTCTTCTGCAACAAATTATGTATTATGTATTATGTATTTTTTTTTTAATGCATATAGGCTTGATTTTAATTGTAACTCCAATCTTGGTGCATTTATTATTGCCAAGAAATATTCTTCAAACTATATATACAAGATGTTTCCTAAGTAATAAGTATAAAAAAATTGAAGGGGATATTCCTTGGCTTACTTTAGGAAGAAAAAATCCTATAAATATATAAACATATATTCTGGTTTATTTTCAAAATACAGAGTGTCAAAGTGTTAAATGTTTTATTGGTACTAGAAAATGGTTTTTAATACCACGTGTACGCATACCAAATTTGAATAAAATATTTTTATACGTTTTTCAGATTTTCGAAATTTACATATTTTTTTTCCCCACAACATTAACACTCTGTATTTTGAGAACAAAGCAGTTTAGGACACATGTTTGTAGGACTTTTTCTTCTTAAAATAAGCCAAGGAATATCTCCTTCAAGTTTGTGCACTTACTTAGGTAACCCTTTATATCATCTAATTTTTATATTATTTTAAAGACACAGCAAATTCCTGCGATTATTGTTTGACACATTCTATTAATTTATAATGTCAACCTCTTTTATCCAGCAGGCGATACTGCTGGGTATGCTTTGCAACCGATGAAGACGATGCGACCGCAGCGTGGGTTAAACCGTGTCATTGCCGAGGCACTACAAAATGGGTTCATCAGGGTTGTATTCAGAGATGGATCGATGAGAAGCAAAAGGGTCATGCTGGACATGCCGTGGCATGCCCACAATGCAATACAGAATATATCATAGTTTATCCAAACATGGGTGAATATATTATATTATACATACATAGATACATATGTGTATGCATGTGTGTAAATATATGTATGTATATACGTATGTGTAACATTGTTATATCTAATGTTATAGTTAGTTCAATGTTTCTATATTATAAACATTATTTTACTTTATTATTGTGATATATTATAATTACTCTTCTATTATAATTACTCTTTGCACATGTAGAGTATATTCTACATGCAAATCAATTGTAGGTCCATTAGTGGTAGTACTCGACACGATTGATGCAGTCATCTTCCGAGTATGCTCTTTTATAGCCGCTGGTATAGTAGTTGGGTCCATATATTGTGTTATCACGACGCATGAAAATGATTATAATAGGTATTTTTGCAAGTAACATATTCTACTTCAAATGAGTGTAACGAAAGTACGCACGGTAATGAGACTGAATACAAAAGAGACTCACTAGCTAATTTATCATAACAAATCGACCGCACAAAAGAAAGAATTACAGTTTTGTCATTATGAAGAAAATGGTTAATTAAGGTACTTTTAGACTGACCTCAGTATTCTTATTTGACTCGAAATTAAATGTGCACATTTCCTAAATGAGTGAGGAATACTGCTTCCTCTATTACGAACGAACGCTCTATCATCATCTTCATCGTAGACGTGTTGCGTATAATATAAGTTCAATTATTATTTTAATGCTTACCTGCCTTTTTTTCTTTTTTTCCTCTTTCTTTCTGTTTTCTTCTTTTCCTCTTGTTCATCATTTTCAACTTTGCGATATCTATGAGAAGCCGGGCTTTGAACGAGCGACGTGCTCCCGCCCTTCTAGAGGGCAGCTCCCGAGTGGCGCGAGCCTCGGGGCGCCACGCTTACGTGCGGTCGTTGTGTGAGCTCACAAAAGCTCGCGGTGTCATAGCATACAGACGTGTTTAAGTGTACAGAGAACAAATATATGATATAGGGTATTCGAGAAATCCTTGTGTTTTCCTGTCCACCTCGCCACGCATACAGTCACCGTTATCGAATAGCCTACAGGTTATGGGCCCAGGGCACGATTCCCCTGCATGAAGAACGAAGCACGAAAAACATCTAGTTGAACGTGTAACGCGAAGTGTGTGAGACGCCGGCGAAGGGCATCGGGAAGACAAAAGCATTTAGAAGAATCTAGAAGATTAGAGGGTAAGTAAATAATATTCCTCGTTGCTGACGAGCAAAACGAGAGAATTCTCAGCAAATAAGAACGTTCGTTCGATAAATGTTGCTAGAAGGAGATAGATGTTTTACCTTCTTCTTGAGAGATAGAAATAGAGGCAACAGTGACAATAAGAGAATTAGAGATAGATGTATAAAGAGATAGATGTGTGAGATATAAAGAGATAGATGTGTGAGATAGAAAGAGATAGATGTGTGAGATAGATATATGCCGCTTGGTAACAAGCTGGCGGGAAAAGCGATATGCCTGTGCAAGTCCGATCGTGAACGGCGAGAGTCATTTTTTTTGACGCGCGAAAGTCCGATCGTGAAAAGTGAGTCATTATTTTGGCGCGAGGGACGCGTTGCCGGGCACGCGCTGACGCATGATCGATTGGAAAAACATAGCATCGATGCGACGCCATAACACATATATATATATATATATATACAGGCATGTGTATGGAATAAATTTCCAAAATCGACATGTATCGGGTCGGTAATTGAGCATGACTAGCTGTGCGGTGTAGCTTGATTACTGTACAGGGAGGCCGCGTAAATTTGTATGGGCCCCATGCGCGTGCGTGATCAACCCGAGCTCCCATAGATCTTTTCAGCAGTGCTGGAAATCGCAACGGACAGTGGTGTGCGCGTGCGGATAGCCCTGCAGAGGCGCGTGGTTTTCTCGCTTTGGGGTTATTGTGAATTGCAGTGCGTTCTATATAGCCTCATAAGCATTAAATTTTTATCGCTGAAAGAGATCTAGTGATAGAAATTGTAAATTATTATCGGTCAATATGAATGTTGGTTTATCTTGTCAAAAGAGGAATGCTAATGTTCAATTGATATTTGAATCCCGATTTAGATGGAAAAAGATAAGACGAAAAATCTTCCGATGGATGAGGAAGAAAACCAGGATTCACTGGTTGACTACGATAGTGACAGCAGCGTGGTCACAGTGGTAGAGAGAGAGGTAGTGATAAAACAATAAGTAAAGATGAAGGTAAGAGAGTATTTTTTTAAATAAAACAATCAAGAAGGATAATATACTTGTGCATTCAGAGATAGAGTAATTTAAAAATTTTGTTTAGAAGAAAAAGAGAACAAGAAGGAGACTGAAGCAAAGGGTGCAATCCCGAAACGTGGCAAACCAAAAATAATAGAAAACATAGATGTAAATAGAGAATGGGCTGAAAATCGTCCTGTACTACCAATAGGGACAAAGATGCTTTACGAGAAACAAGAAAAGATGGTTGAGAAAATGGACTCGGTAATGAAGATGTTGGATAAGGTTATGACCCAAGCAACCTCCATGATGGAAAACATGGTAGAAGTCGCCCGCGTAAATTTAGAGAAAGAGAAACTAAAGATTAGACGTTTAGAGGTAAATAAACAGAATACGCAAAGTAAAGTAGAAAACGGTATACAAACGGTTAAAGAATCAGAAGTAGAGCCTAAAAAGAAAAAGTTAGATGAAACAGTCTGTTCAGTCGAGAAAAATAGAAGTTTAGAGACAATTAAGAGTGCTTTAAAAGTAGAATTAAACAGTCAAAGGTTGCATATTAGAAGAGAATATAAGCTAATGCAAAAATCTAACTTTGATCTTTGGATGGATTATTTAAAATCCGAATTAATGAATAACGAGTTATTAGATGTAATAGATTCAAACATTGATAATCCAGAAAATCTTTCCGAATTAAAAGTTGCTAAGAGAAAAAGTCTAGTTAGAGATATAATAATCAATCATTTAGATGAAAATTATCATAAAAGGATTTTACATGAGAAAGATCCAAAAGAAATTTTGAAGAAATTAAGAAGTTATAAAAAGAGTGAAGTAAACGTTACTCATACATCGGTACGAACTAAACTCTATCAAATTAAAATGAGAAAAGACGAAAAAGTAAGTGATTTTTGCGAACGCTTTGATTCAATAATTAGAGAATATGAATCATGCGAAGATGCGGTACCTCTCACAGAACAAGAAATGAGATCTGCATTGTATCAAGCTGTGTCAATTAATGTGCCGGAACTGAGGAATGTAGATTTAATTAGAAGACAAACTAATCTTAAAGAAATGAATGTAGATGAAATAAAATTTTTCATGATGCAGTTAGAGGCAGAGACTAAGAGTGAAGTTAAAGAGAAGCTAGAGAAACCAGAGGTTAAAGTGCAGAGGGCTACCGCAGAAGAGCACAAAGAAGTAAAGTGCTACCGATGCAACAAATTGGGTCACATGGCGAAGGACTGCCCACTAGCAGGATCAGAGGCCTGGTTCTGTTATTACTGCCAGGAGATTAGAGGACACAAGGGTGATAGCTGTCCTAATGCCGGAGCCCAGACGAACAGATTTAGAGGAAAAAGGTATACAAATAAAACCGTTAATAAAAATATAAAGAAAAAGGGTAGATTTGCGCAAAGAGGAACAAAAAGAGTAGATAATAAAGGGAAAGTAACCAAAATACAACCAGCCAAGAAAACTATACCATCGCAAACAGCAATTGAAGGAAAACCAAAAGAAGGTAAATTATGCATGGCTAAAGTAATAGAAGATAGAGATAGCTCAAAAGAATTAGTCAATTTTATTGTAGATTCGGGTGCAACAGATCACATTGTGAATAAGAATATAATTTTATCAAACTTTGAAAAATGTAATAATAGAGTAATTAAATGCGCGAATAAGAATGAGCTTGCAGACATTTCAATAGATGGTAAAGGAGATCTTTTGTTGTTAACAAATGAGAAAGAAAAGAAAGTAATTAAATTAACAAATGTAATTGCAACGAAGAAAGTATCCGAAAATTTACTATCTTTAAAAAAGCTGGCTGATGCAGGGTTCAGTATTTATTTAGATGATAAAGTGTTTAAAATTCACAATAAACTAACAAATAAAATTGTTTTTGAAGGAATTTATGAGAAACCAAATTGGGTTATGCAATTTGAGGTTAAAAACAATAATATAGAGGACAATGAAAGTGTAGAATGTGCTGTGTATAGATGTAGAGCAGAAATTGTTCCACATTGTGAGTCTCCTGAACAATCGCAAGCAAACATTCAGACCAGTGAATTATCAATTTCGGAGGGAGAATTAGACGAAAGAGACAATGTTGGCTCTGCGATTGGGAGGGAGAATGAAGGAGAGCTCACAAATGTGAATGAAAATATAGAATACAATAATGCTGAACTCGATCAAGTCATTAAGTTAGAAGATATACAAACATTAGAGAATATAGAAGAAATGTGTGAAAGCTCAGTAATTGAAAAAGTAAAGAAATTAGAGAAAATAAATGAGGCGATGTTATGGCATGTTAGATTAGGTCATGCGTCGTTAAACTATTTAAGACAGCTACAAAAAGTAGAAAAGAGATTAGAGACAGTTAAGTTTGATAACTCCATATTAGAGTGTGAAGTCTGTATAATGGCAAAGATGGCAAAATTGCCGTTTAAAGAAAACAGAAATAGAGCACAGAGACCACTACAAGTGATACATACGGATATCATGGGTCCAATAAAACCTACATCTTATCCAGGACAAAAGAGGTTTATAATAACCTTTATAGACGATTATTCTAGATTAGCGAAAGCTTACTCCTTGAAGACGAAAGATGAATCGGGAGAAGCTCTAGAGAAATATCTAATATCCGCCAGAAATCTACTAGGAAAAGAAGAAAAGCTATGCTATGTGAAGTCAGATCAAGGCAAGGAATTTACGGGAGGTGCTTTTAAAGAAGTGTTAAAAAGAGAAAATATAGAAGCCATATATGCACCACCGTACACTCCGGAACATAATGGAGTTGCAGAAAGGTTTAACAGAACGATGCAAGAGAAAATAAGAACATATATGTTCGACTCGGGATTACCAAAGAGTATGTGGGAGTTGGCAGTTGACGCTGCTGTGCATGCGTACAACAGATCTCCACATTAGACTATAGAGTATGAGATCCCCTTGAAGAAGTTCTCATCAGAAACAAGTTGTCATTTCGAGCAAATAAAGAGATTTGGATGCATTGGATATGCAAGAGTACCAAAGCCTACGTCGAAATTTGACAAGAGAGCTATTAGAGGTGTGTTGGTAGGATATACTGACACTGGATATATACTCTGGCATCCAAGCACAAGAAAATTTATAGTCCTGACACATTAGATTTAATGAAAAAATAACATATAAAAATGTATATCAAAATAGTCAAATAGAAG